AAATTTTAATATTTTATTTTTTAGTTATCGGCAGACACAACATCTTTGTTTGTATGTGGTGCTGAGGATCGAACCTGGGCCGCACGCATGCCAGGCAAGCGCGCTACCGCTGAGCCACATCTCCAGCCCCTTAAAATTTATTTTTATTTTAAAAAATTTATTTATTCTAATTTGTTATATGGGTCAACAGAATGCAATCCAATGCATATTACACAAATAGAGCACAATTTTTCATGTCTCTGGTTGTGCATAAAGCCATTTGTTTGAAAAAGAGAAAAGGTCCTGGGGCTGAAGTTGGGCTCAGTGGTAGAGCACTTGCCTAGCATGTGTGAGGCACTGGGTTCAATTCTCAGCACCACATAAAAATAAATAAATAAAACAAATGTATTGTGTCCATCTACATTTAGAAAACATTAAAAAAAGAAAGAAAGAAAAGGTCCTTTTCTATCCCTGCAATTATTAACATGGTTTTCCTGGGCTGGGGATGTGGCTCAAGCGGTAGCGCGCTCGCCTGGCATACGTGCGGCCTGGGTTCGATCCTCAGCACCACATACATACAAAGATGTTGTGTCCGCTGAAAAATAAATATTGAAAAAAAAAAAAAAAAGAAACATGGTTTTCCTTATTGAAAACCAGGAAAGAGACTGTGGTGGATTGGAAGTAGTTTCTTGTGGAGCAACACTGCCACCTGGTGCTCATGGTAGGGACTGTGGGAAAACATGAATGCAACAGAATGAGCAAGTGGAAGGGAGCATTTCATGGAGCAACACTGCCATCTTGTGGTTCTTCAGGGAACTGCTGCTAGGGACCATTTCATCTGTAATGAGGAACTTTTCATGCTGTACACAAACGTGGCAGAGGTTTTAATAGTGTATTTATAGCCTTTCCCTTTATTTGGAGAGCTAATTCATATATAGAACAAGCGGGGCATCCCCCTTCCTCACCCTGGTTTCTCAGGCCAGTGCTGGATCTGTGGCTAGGGCAGACCACATCAAGGCAGGTCAAACAAAGGGGGCAGGGAGAGAAGGCAAAGGACAGGCCTTACGTCTGGCTCATGCAGGTTTCATGGATGTTCTTGGTGACAGCCTCATAAACTGTGGGAGGCAAGGCCAGGTAGAAGAGCCGGTTGGCCTGTGGCCCCTGGTGAAGGGCGTTCATATGGCTGTTCAGGCGCTTGAAGGAGGCTGGGTCGTCATACTGGCCGGCTACATAGGAATTGCGGGTGAAGAACTCCTCCAGCTTGGGCCTCTCCTCTGGGGTGGCCTGGGAGAAATGGAAGGACAGATAGACACAATGTCAGCTCTACTTTTCTACCTTCTTGAGAGTCCATGTCTGCTCTGCCCCAGGAAAGTGAAGGGTCTTGTTTGTATGCATTTGTCTCTTTTATCCCACAGCCATGATGGGCTTCCCTGGAGATTTGGGAGGGTTCTCTTAGAAGTCAGCTGTCCTGGCCCTTCATACTGTTCACCCCACCCTGGCAGATTCATGCATTCATGGGGAGGGAGGCTGAGGCAGGCAGGACTACTGTGCAGAGATGGGGGCACAGCAGCCCCATGCAGGGCTTGAAACCTGTATAATCACCCCTGTACAACCCTAGGACCTTTTTCCCTAAGACAGAAGTTGTATTTCAGGAAAAATCTGACCTGGAGAAATACAGTGGAGAAAGACCTTTTACCAAAATTAGCACACCAAACTACAATTTGCTAAGAAAAATGCTCATGTGTAGTAGGATTTCCTGTAGGGAAGAGGTACCTGTGAGGGAGGGAATCCTTTTTCTAGTTCATGGTATATCCTAATGTGGCCCCAGAGCACATCAGGGTGGACTGAGTAAATCTAGGTCAGAGAGGGGCTGGGAAATGGGTTATCCTGCTAGAGGGACCCCTTTCCCTCTCTGTGCCTAGAGTTCTTCCTATAATGGAGGAAGCAACAAGAGTAGGCATGCAGAGCTTTTGGGTGCCTGTCGAGTGGGTGGTTTTGGGGCCCTCAAGGATGTGAGGTGCTAAGGCTTGAGTGCCAGGCAGCTGTCCTGAGGCATCCTATCTTTCTGCCAGTCAAGTGAGGAAGGGGGAAAGGAAATGCATCCTAAGATGGGACAGGGGCATCTCCCACTGGGCCACCTGGGGCTGGCACTGCTGGGGCTAAAGAAGAGGACAGAACAAGGTTGGGGGGACCCTGAAGCCACTCACTCTGAAGAAGGGCTCACTCTGCTTACGGATGTCATCCACTGTGAGACGGGAGCGAGCATAGCCCACGATGAAGGTGTCTTCGGGTAGAAGGCCATCACGGAACAGCCACCNTAGAAGAGCCGGTTGGCCTGTGGCCCCTGGTGAAGGGCATTCATATGGCTGTTCAGGCGCTTGAAGGAGGCTGGGTCATCATACTGGCCGGCCACATAGGAATTGCGGGTGAAGAACTCCTCCAGCTTGGGCCTCTCCTCTGGGGTGGCCTGGGAGAAATGGAAGGACAGATAGACACAATGTCAGCTCTACTTTTCTACCTTCTTGAGAGTCCATGTCTGCTCTGCCCCAGGAAAGTGAAGGGTCTTGTTTGTATGCATTTGTCTCTTTTATCCCACAGCCATGATGGGCTTCCCTGGAGATTTGGGAGGGTTCTCTTAGAAGTCAGCTGTCCTGGCCCTTCATACTGTTCACCCCACCCTGGCAGATTCATGCATTCATGGGGAGGGAGGCTGAGGCAGGCAGGACTACTGTGCAGAGATGGGGGCACAGCAGCCCCATGCAGGGCTTGAAACCTGTATAATCACCCCTGTACAACCCTAGGACCTTTTTCCCTAAGACAGAAGTTGTATTTCAGGAAAAATCTGACCTGGAGAAATACAGTGGAGAAAGACCTTTTACCAAAATTAGCACACCAAACTACAATTTGCTAAGAAAAATGCTCATGTGTAGTAGGATTTCCTGTAGGGAAGAGGTACCTGTGAGGGAGGGAATCCTTTTTCTAGTTCATGGTATATCCTAATGTGGCCCCAGAGCACATCAGGGTGGACTGAGTAAATCTAGGTCAGAGAGGGGCTGGGAAATGGGTTATCCTGCTAGAGGGACCCCTTTCCCTCTCTGTGCCTAGAGTTCTTCCTATAATGGAGGAAGCAACAAGAGTAGGCATGCAGAGCTTTTGGGTGCCTGTCGAGTGGGTGGTTTTGGGGCCCTCAAGGATGTGAGGTGCTAAGGCTTGAGTGCCAGGCAGCTGTCCTGAGGCATCCTATCTTTCTGCCAGTCAAGTGAGGAAGGGGGAAAGGAAATGCATCCTAAGATGGGACAGGGGCATCTCCCACTGGGCCACCTGGGGCTGGCACTGCTGGGGCTAAAGAAGAGGACAGAACAAGGTTGGGGGGACCCTGAAGCCACTCACTCTGAAGAAGGGCTCACTCTGCTTACGGATGTCATCCACTGTGAGACGGGAGCGAGCATAGCCCACGATGAAGGTGTCTTCGGGTAGAAGGCCATCACGGAACAGCCACCAGATGGTGGGGTAGATTTTCTTCTTGGCAAGGTCGCCCTGTGACAAAGAGAATAGGCGTGGTCAGGGGAAGCTATGAACATGACCTAGATCATCACCCCTCCTAGTGATGTGAGCACGCACTCAGGTCATCACTCAGCCACAAGCTTATCTATCTTGTCCCCATACACTGCCAGAGAAGCCCTGAGATTTGAGCCTGCTGTGGGCCTGGACCCTTCATCTGGAAGGCGTAATTGTTTCCTGCATTCCAGAAGAAACCCGGACATTCAGTTCATTAGAACTGAAAGATGACTAAGGTGCAAAATAGCAAAACTGGTAAGATGTGGCCTTAAACCTTGTATCAGCGAAAAAGAATAACTCAGAAACAATGAGCTACCTATTCGAATTATGAAGTTAGGAAAAGGATAGCAGACTTTCAAAACAAAAAAAAATTATAAGGAAAGAAATCATGAAAAAGAAAAGTCGGGCTGGGGTTGTACCTCAGTGGTAGAGTACTTGCCTGGTATGTCTAAGGCACTGGGTTTAATCCTCAGCACCACATAAAAATAAACAAATAAAATAAAGGTATTGTGTCCATCTACAACTTAAAAAATTAAAAAAATGAAAAGTTAATAAAATGGAAAACTAATGAAAGGAAAAGATCAACAAAGTTAGAATTTGGTGTTTGAAAAAGACTAATAACAGCCAGAAAACCCTTTGCAACACGGCTTTTTCAACAGGCACAAATAATTGGGAGTACAATGGAACAGAACTACAGATGGGAAGCACAGAAGAGAGTTTTATAAACAACTTTATTCCATCAGTAACGACTTAAATGAGATGGACACATTTCTACAAAAGTTCAACCTATAACATGGAGCAAGGGACCTGAGTGGGGCAGTGATAACAAACCTTCCCACCAAGATAACTCCTGGCACTGCCAATGGGTTCTACCAAAATCAGGGAAGAGAGAATTTCATTCTGAAGCAAACTCCTCCTATAGACAGAAGAAGGGAAACTTTCCTGAAGCCACTTTCTAGTTCTCGCAGAACCTTGGCCGTGAGATTTGATGAGAAAGGCACATGGGAAAACTTTTCACATATACCCATGCAGATACAAGAATCCTATAGAAAACGTCAGCAAACTGAATTCAGCCATGTTAAAATATGTAACACATCATAACAAAGGTGGATTTATCTGGGAAACAAAAGATTGGTGTGATATAAAAACCAAAAATCAGTCAGTGAGAAGAGAGTAAAGGAAAAACTGAGAAATCTTTGCCTACTCCTACATATTGATTTTTTAAAATCTAGCAACCTTGCTAAACTCAAGAAATGTAGATAAAGGGTTTCAGAGTATTATCTATTCATGATGAAAATTTTTAGCAAAGTAGAAAAATGGGGAATCCCTTAACTTGATAAAGGGCATCTATGGAACACCCTACAGACACAATACAGAATGGGAAACATTGAAATAACTCCCTGTAAACAACCAGGAACAAGAAAAGAATACCTGCTACTGGCTCTTTAGTAGATGCTGAACTAGCCAGTCCAACAAGGAAGGAAATGAAAATGGATTTGTTTGGAAAGGAGGAAGTAAAACTGTCATTATTTGTAGATGATGCTTTGTCTATTAAAAACCCACCTGAAATCGATCTGCAGATAAATAATTAGAGTTAATAAGAGTTTAGCAAGGTTTCTAGGTTTAAAAATCATTAGATAGGAGCCGGAAAAAATTTATTAGGACACAGAAAGCAATATCATAAAAACTGAAAAATTAAGACTTGACTGAAATTAAAAACTGTCTCATCAAAAAATGCTATTGAGAACATGGAGGTGCTAGGGGTGGCTCAGTGGCAGAATGCATGCGTTGCATGCAGAAGGCCCAGGGTTGGATACCTAGCACCAAAACAAACAAACAAACACAAGCCACAGACTGAGAGACAGTATTCACTCAACTTATCTGCATCCAGAATATACAAGCAGCTCCTACAATACAATAAGAAAACAACCTAATTAAAAATGGGTAAGTGTCTTGGCCAGATGCTTCATAAGGAAGAGAAATGTATGGCTACTAAAAACATTAAAAGTATTCAAGATTGTTAGTTGTCAGAAAAAATGCAAACCACATAGCATTTCACACTCACGAGAATGATCGTAATCTAGAAGACTGAGAACACCTAGTGTTGGTGTGAACTCACGTATGTGGGTGGGAGAAATGAGATGGTCAGGCACTCTTTAACGTAGCTTGGCAGCTTCTCATTAAAGGAAGCTATTCTACTCCTAGAGGAATGAAAGCAGGAGGCCACACAAAAATCTGTGCATGAATGTTCACAGCAATCTAATTGAAAACAGACCCAAACTGAAAATACCCCAAATGAATCAGCAGGTGAAGAAACAAAGACATATTACTCAGCAACAGAGGAGGAACATGTTACAGATCTGTGAAACACTGACCAGTCACAAAAAATATTATGCTGAGTCAAAGAACTCAGACACAAAAGATTAAACCTTTGAGTTCACTTAAATAAAGTCCTAGAATGGGCAACATTAGCCTATTAGTACAGGAATTAAATCAGTAGTTGCCTGGAATAGGGGGTGGGATGGGAAGGGGCACTCAAGAACTTTCAGGGAAGATGAAAATGTTCTGTATCTGTGTATTGTCATGTGTACCAAAAAGAGAGACAAAAATAATAACTGATCAGAGGGTGGGGAGTGGGTTAGAAATTCCCCTAAGGTAGCAGTGATCATAAGGCAGTGCTTCTAGAGTGCAGATAATGTTCTGTTTCTTGATGTGGTAGAAGGTATATAGGTGTCTCAAGTTTGTAAAGTCATCAGGCTGTCCCCTTATAGTCTGTATTCTTTTCAACATATATTCCAATAAAAATTATAAAAAATTAATAGGCACATACCACCTGCCTTATACTTACTAGCAACAAGAAGTTGGAGGAGAAAAACAATTTAAAAACAATTTCACTAACAAAAGTAAATGTTATTTGGTATAGGGGATTGACCCAGGAATGCTGTATCACTGAGCTGCATCCCCAGCCCTTTTGTTAAAGTTTTTTTTTTGTAGTTGTAGATGGACAGAATGTGTTTATTTTTATATGGTGCTAAGGATTGAATCCAGTGCCCCACACGTTCTAGACAAACATTCTGCCACTGAGCTATAGCCCCAGCTCTCCAGCCCTTTTAATTTTGGGACAGGGTCTTCCCAAGTTGCCCAGGGTGGCCTGGAACTTTCCATCTGCCTGCCTCAGCCTTCTAAATCCCTGGGATTACAGGTGCAAGCCACCACACCAGACTACAAAAGTAAGTGCTATAAAGAACCTAGAAATAGAGCCAGCATATACCTGAAATCCCAGCTGCTCAGGAGGCTGAGGCAGGAGGATTGCAAGTTGGAGGCCAGCCTAAGCAACTCAGTGTGATCCTGTCTCACAATAAAAAATAAAAAGCTGGAGATGTAGCTCAGTGGTAGATCACCACTGTGTTCAATCTTCAGTGCTACCAGAAAAAGAACAGAACTAGAAATAAACGTTCAAGCCTACTACTGAGACAATGACACAATTCCATTAAAATGGCCTATGCAGACACCTCATTCTCTTGGGCAGCAGAAGCACCAGGAAGAATAACAACATCCCTCCTTTCCAAGCCAATCTGCTCATCCAGTTCAGTCACCCAGTTACTATCAAAAGCTTAACAAGCTTTAATTTTGTAACCTGACAAACTAGATGGAAGAGGAAGGGGTAGAATGACCAGCGAGCGGGCTCTTGAACAATAATGGAGCAGGGCCTTTTCATTTTAGACCCTATAATCAAGACTGTGGGAAGGTCTGGTCTGTGAACCCACACTTTATGGGGCCCTGTCACTCTGTGGGGAGAGGTGAGTGGGTGGCACAGGCACAAAGCACTGTCCCAACCAAGATCTCAACTCAATCCAGACAGGAAATCCATCTCCAGGGATAAGATAAATGACTTGAATATTCATGCAAAATTAAGTTGTAGAAACCTTCCCTGCAGATCTTTTTGTAAAAAAATTTAAAATTGTTTTAATTTTTTGTTGTAGATGGGCATAATACCTTTATTTTATTTATTTATGGGGTGCTGAGGAATAAACTCAGTGCCCCACACATGTGAGGCAAGTGCTCTAGCACTGAGCCATAACTTCAGTCCCTGCAGATGTATCTTGATCTAAAAAAAAAAAAACATCAAAATACTGTTGAGCACAGTGGTGCATGCCTATAATCCAAGCTACTTGGGAGGCTGAGGCAGAGGATTGCAAGTTTGAGGCCAGCTTCAGCAACTTAGTGAGACCCTGTCTCAAAACAGAAATGAATGATTATGTAGTCAGTGGAAAAGTAGTGCTGAGTTCAATCCCTGGTCCTAAAACCAAACCAAAACCAAAACACATAACAACAATAACAAAACTAAAATCATACAACAACAAAACAAACTCATGTGAACCTCTGGCCTCCCTGGCCTGCAATGCTATGGTGACTGTGTTCAGGAAAATATCCCAGAATTGCTGCCAGCCGGTCTCTGCTTGCCTGTCAGACCTCCTCATGCATCTGCATCAATCCCCTGTCTGATGCCCAGTTTGGCCACTCAAAGGTCTACTGAGTTCTCGAAGGCCATTCAGATCTCTGCTGAGTGAAGCTTCTAACTTACCATATCATATGGTTGCCCTTGTTGGTCCCTCAAGGTCTATCTCAGATGACCCCCAACCCTGGGCCAGGGGCTCCCCCAACATGGCCCTCAGTTTCTAAGTGCTCTGTCAATGCCTGCCTCTGGCTTTCTCCCTCAGCAGGGCTGGTAAGGACACTGCTCATGTCTGGATGGTTCAATGTTGACTCCACATGCTCCAGAAAGGGCCAGCTTGCTGGGAACTGACCCTGAAAGAAACAGTAAGAATCCTGGCCTGCAAAACCCTCTAAAAGGCAATGTTTGCTTATGATAAAATTCCAATGGATTGGGAGGAATCAGGACAGACTCCAGGCAATGGATTGGTGGCAGGGGATTGGTTTGCTGAGTCACAGTTGCCCCACACCCCGGAGCTATTTGTTTTTGTGTTCCCTTTGGGATTAACTAGAGATAGAACCTGCTCGCCTTGTTTCAACTCAATCCCCGCAACCCACAATCTGCTGAGCTCCAAGTCACCCAAAGGAGAGGTGAGGTAGACCAAGAACAGTGGGGGTGCGGGGCGGGGGGGGGGCAGCCGCTCTCTTCAGGGCTGGGTTGGCCCTGCCCTTCCTGTTGTTCTGCAAGGCTCTCACCAGAATCGAGTGGAGCAAGGAATACAGGGAGACCTAAAATCTAAACATGTGGGGGTGGGCACAATTACAGCAGGTAGAAGCCTCTCAGGTTTGCTACCCTGTTTGCTTTGCCCAAGAATCATGGTGGGGAAGGGGTCTACTCAAGGACAAATTTCACCTTACTAGGAAGAGGTAGGGCAAAAGAGACTTGGGCTACCACTTGTCTGTGGTCACCCGAGGTTTGTCCTCGGCCTCCTGTTTTATAAACCCAAATCACTGCAACCCTCTGTTCTGGTGTGAGGGTTTTAGGGTGGAGGCCCAGTAGAAGGAATGAACCATCTTGTCCCCAAGAGTTGTTGGCATTAAGGATTCACCAAGGTAGAGCCCTGAGCTTTGGTGGAGGCCCAGCTGGCTCCTGGCCACTGGGGTGAGAGAACCTGGCTCTGCTGAGGTAAGTTCAGGCAGGAAAAACTAACAATAGGGCCTCCGTCCTACACGCCAGTGCTCTTGAGTCACCAGGCCTTTAGGGGAATGCCAACGTCATCATGATACAGCAAGAATCTTATCAGCCCAAGGGGGAAGTCAGCCTTGAAGTGTCTGTCCTAAGAAGAGGGAGGGGCTGGAACAGCCAGGTCATTTGGATAAATCATAAGCACCCATCATGCCATGGCCATCACGGTCCAGGTGGGGAAAATGAGACCCAGGGAGGAGAGGGTCCTGCAGTGAGATGCTCTGCCCACATGGACTCCCAGTGGGATTCTCCTTCCCTTGTTCCTATGGAAGTGTCACTCTCCAGCTTTACCAAGGTCCCCAGGCAGGGGAGGATATCCTTTAATGCCCAAGGTTCCTTCCTGCACGCTAGTGCTTTCTGGACAGCAAGTACCTCCACTCTCTTCCTGAAGTGGGTTGGAGTCTTAAGAAATAGGAGAACCTTGAGTGGCTCAAAGCCCATTTGGTAACAGCATCGGGACGCTCTCAGGAAGGAAGCTGGGCATGTACGTGAGGGTTGGGTAAACCTGCAAGGGAGGAAGTGGCAGAGGATGGCCGCTTGGGCCCAGCTGGCCTTGGGGTGTCCTGCTTGCCCAGCTGCTGGCCTCCTTTTGGTTTCTTAGGGCTGTGGGTACTTCCTCTTCCTTTCATATGGGATGCACCCCCAGCCCTTACCTGAAGGCCTTACTCTCCAGGCCTTCTTCATGGGACCTGTGTGCTGAAGGGGGCAGGAGACACAGGGGCACATTGGTGGCTTCTTTTTTGTGAGCCCCTCTTGGTCTGCTTACTCCCTTTGGGGCTCTGCTTCCCACAGTCTATCGGCTCCATGAGGAAGGGGCTGTGGCTGTTGTGGTTTGAAAGAGGTACTTGCTACATGTTGAATGAATGAATGGAGAACGTGCTGGTTTCTCAGAACAGCTGGTACCCTGCTTATCTCCTGCAGCAAGTGAGCTGTCAGGCGTGGAAGGAGGTTTAAGAATGGGAGCTACTCTGAGTGCTGTCTGGGCATAAATGCCCCTGCATGGACTCCAGGCCCTCCCTGCGGGGGGGGGGGGTGAGGAGGAGAAACAATGGGGCTCTTTAGAACATCCCTTGTCTTCTCCACTCCCCTCTGCTGGAGCCAGCACTTCCCATTTCGGTTCTAGAAGCCTCTAGTTCTCACTCCCAGAGCAGAGGAGAGCAAAGGGGAACCCTACTGATTGCAATTAGACACAGTTGCCTAACCCAAGGCCAGCAGGAACATCAGCCTAAGAAGGCCAAGACTTGTTTGCTAGGAGGAAACACTGAGGTTTTGAGAGAGATACACACACACACACACACACACACTTGGTCTAGTCAACAAGCTTAGATTCTCTCAGTGAGGTATCCAAGAGTTGAGGGTCTGGGGTTATGATCCATCATTGTGGTCTAGGTCACTGTTGGCCTGTGATTGTGAGAACATGGGGTAGGGATGGGGAAGGGAAATCATCCTTATTTACTTGCTGCTCCAGTCTGATCCTTGGAATGAAGGCCTAATGGTCAGGTTCTGAGGTGTTAAGGTTTGTGGCTGTCACAAGTATGGTTCCTCAAATGGGACTGTCTGAGGCCAAGCCTGTGCCACTGTGTGCCCCAACTGGGTACCTCCAGGGGACTTTAGGGTTCCTAGGTGTCAGAGGACAGTGCTTGGGGTGGTTTGCACTTGCTTTTATAGTGGTAGAGCCCTTCTCCCTTGCTCTCCTCCTCATTATTTCTAAGTTCTGATCAGAAATACAATGGTGGGCTGGACATGGTGGTGACCTGTAATCCCAGGTACTGGTAAGGCTGAGGCAGGAGGATCACAAGTCAGTCTCAGCAACTTAGCAAGATCCTATCTCAAAACAAAAAGGGCTGGGGTGTAGCTCAGAAGTAGAGTACTCTTTAGTTCAATCCTCACTACTACAGGGGGAAGAAAGAAATATAATAGTGGTAGCAGGGAGCAGGTTTGAAAAGGGGGTGGCATGTTCTATATGAACAAAGAACCACAGATTTCCTCCAGCACGGAGGGGCTCACAACATGTACCGTGTTGCACCTACCTTGTCAATAGCTAACTAGTTCTCATGGAACTCTTATTCAAGATTACACAATAAGTTCAGGGTGAAGATGATCACACAATGTTGAGCAGAGTTCAGGACATATCCAGGGCTAAAAGTAAAGAATTGAAACCATTTTTGCCATTAAACCTTGGTCCAGTCAGTCACTGTACTTGTCTTGCTGCCGCACAGCACACAAGGGAGGATGCTCTCATCAGGGACCACAGATCCACTAAGGCCACACTCCTTTTCCTGTCCAACCATGTACTGTCAATATGCAATTCCTCTGCCTTTGCTTCTACTCTTTGGCCTTTCCAATCAGAGCAAAATTCAGTTGTGCCAGCTAGACAACTAAGGACAGGTGGGGTGGGCAGAGCTCTTCAGGAGGGTTTGGAAGTTGTGGCAAAGAGGAAGTGTTCAAAGAAAGACCCAGTATTTATGATCAGGGAACTTCATTGGTACAGAGAGAAGAGGCAGAGACAGGGCTCCAGATCTTTCTTCTAGAACTGACCATGTGACATTTGTCAAGTCACAAACTGGTTTAAAAAGAATTCAGAATGAATAGCATTCCCTGTTTGCATCTGTTTTCCTCACTGAGAAGGAAGAAGACATGGTCCTTTAGGACCTGGCAGCTCTAGGACTCCTGGCTATACTGAATGGGTGACCAGACTTTAGAAACATCTCACAAGTATGTACAAGGTAGTGTAGGGAGGTTAGTGGCACACAGGCAGGGGCAACAGGTAGAGCTCAATTTATCAGAGCCCATGCAGCCCCACAAAACTCAATCAGGAAAGCTGAGGCACAGAGTAAGACGTGTTTTGCACAATGCCACATTCAAAGTATGACTTTTCAGACTGGGGCCTGGGGGAGACTCACCGATGCACCCATGATGATGAATATATGTGTATCAGCCTGGTGGAAGGCATCACCCTGGTACAGCTCTTCCCGCAGGATCCCGCACACCTGGGTCCGACTCAGGGCTACCTGCTCTGCCATGGTGCTCTCTGGTGAAAGAAAGGCTCCTTGACAAGTCGGTCTCCTTCTTGAGTCATGACTGATTACTGAAACCATTCTCTGGGAATGGTCACGGTGGGGGTGGGGCAGCGGGGTTGGTGGGTTAGAAACTGCTGCCTCTGGGTTCCAGCCTTACTCTCCCAGGCTGCCTTTTTTCAGGGTGTACATTACAAAAGTACTCAAAGCATGAATGGATTTTAGCTGCAGCATCAATTCTGGGCAAGTGGATAAAAATCCTGCCTGAGCATCGCACTACATGTCCTGGACCATCTCATTGTGGACTTTGCCAGAAACTCCACAATGAACTGGAGCACGTTGGATTGTGCAGATGATGGAGTTTAGCTCCAGCCCTCCCCCTGTCAAGCTGGGCGATTCCGGCAAGTCCCCTCCTCTCTCAGGGTCTGGCCCTCAAGGTCCCAATGGGGGAACCGCGGGTACAAGGGGATCGGTTAAGACTGTCTAGAAAAATAGCGCCTATTAAAAGACCGCGTGGTGCAGTGGTGGGCAGCACAGCCTCTGCCGATGCGGCGCCGGCCCGCCCGGTTACCTGCGCCTCGTCGCCGTCGCCCGCCGCGCTCGCAGCCCCGGAATGCACGGTCGTTTCCGGGGATTGAGCCCCGTCGGCCCATTTAACCAGTGGGG